ACTTCTAGAAGGGTGTGGGTGTGAGTATTGACGTAAGAGTATGGACATGGACAAAAGAAGAGTTATTATCACTGTTAGCGGCTAACCCTTATTATGTTTTCTTTCTTTTCTTTGATATGAACTATCTCAGGTCATTCTTTATTTTGCACTTGTATTTCTTTCTCAAACCTTCGATATATATATAGATATAGATATGGATATATATATATATCGATTACTTTCTTTTCTTTAGTGTAGTGTATGTGCGCGCGTGTGTGAAGTGAGCGTAAAAGTGTAGTGTGATATATGTTCGATTTGAAATAAATAAAAAGAAATCGAACTAAAAGTTCTCCCGATAATAATCACCCACACCCTGCTCATATTTCAACCAATGTATAGAACACATACATCATTTGCCGATAATTCTCGACTGTAAATTCGGAAATCATCCACATCACCTGTAAACTGCTTGTTGATAACTATTCCACTTGTCAAGCGCGATCCAGAAAGACTAGAGGCTAATGTCACATAATTAGGTGTTGTTCCATTAGCCACAAATGTTGTTGCCGATGGCTGAGAAGCAACTAGAATGTTGTCAATATAGAAACGAAGACCATTCGTTGAATTCCATGTTTGTACGATATGAGTCCAAAATGGTGTTGAGACAGGAATAAGAGTCGATGCAATAACAGATACGATTGTTGTTCCATCATAGATTTGAGCAGCCAATGTATTATTCGAAGTAAAACCTATGAATGGAAGGCACCATGATCCGGCACCATTCGATAAAGTCGAGATGTGAACAAGTGTGCTAGATAGAGATTGAGGTTGAATCCAGAGTGATATCGAGAATGATTGGTTATCCATACTGAATTGAGTGAAACTCGATGCTTGAAAATATGAAATCGAACCGTTGAATTAAATAGCTTGAAGAGAATGACCAATAGATAAAACTGAATAAGAAGAAGCGTTTTCCGATACCAAATTAGGTCCAAAATCGATCAGCATTCCTGCACTATCAAATGCAAAAACGAGCAGCAAGTGTGGCAACTTCGAGTATTTCACATGCACTTTTGACTCGATGATTAATCGTTAATGTGTCCATGTAACCCTATAAGAAGAAAATAGAGACTTTGAAGTTGTTTAATTGTAACAATGATCCCTTAGTATCTTCATTACTAGATATTTTAAATTTTTTTCAGTTTTGCTGGTGCTTATTTTAAATTATGTTCGTTCGAAAACATAGAATTACCTGGAAAAAGTCCGTGCCTGGCGGATACAAGATAATTGGAGTACCACCAATAGAAAAGTTACTCGTGAAGGCTAAGAGAGGTGCTGATGCGGTTCGACTACATTCAAGCACTCCATTGAGATAGATCGATTGTGTAATTGTACTTATATCGAAAACGAATGCAACATATATCCATTG